CTCTCCAAATTCCCCTCAGCAGGAAGCAGGGCACTCTCCAGCCAGTCCCTCCCAACCCTAGCCCTCTCGGCTGTTGGCTGATCCAGAGCTGCAGCCCCAAATGCCAGCCCCTGAAAACAAAGCATGGACACTTCACCCCCTCCCACAGCCTGGACCCGTTCCCTTTGTGACATGTTTCCATGACACATAGGCATGACTACAGAAGAAACACCGTGAAGGGCTGGTGGCTGGCAATGGGACCCCAGTTCAGTACAGGATCCTAAGGAACCTGTCCCTCCATGCATGGACACCTGGGACCCCTTCTTCCTCCAGTACGCTGGGACAGAAGCCTTGACCATCCCAAGCCCAGGAGCAACCGCCTCAAGGTCATCCAGAGCCCAGGAGAGCAGAGCATCCCTCCTCTGTCCAGAAAGCACCCGAGGATGCAGCCATGTGCTCTGGCCTCTCCAAAGCCCCTGGGTGATCTCAGCAGGTCCTGGACCTCAGGAGTGAGCTGGTCTACTTGGCAGAGCTGCCCATCCTTGGCATAGAATCTTCTGAGATTTGGAGGCCTGAGTAAAAGATGGAACAAAGGAAAGGGCACACATGCCAAGTCAAAAATACTGTTTCCATAGACAAAAACCACAATTTAAGCAGGAAAGGCCGGCTGGTGGTAGGGGGACAAACACAATAAAAACTATGGCCACACAGATCAAAGATTGAAGAAGGGGGCTAGAATACTTGCTTACAAGACTTACTTGGTCCTAGAGATGAAAAACCATCACTAGTTTTTTTCTTTTTGGTGCTGGGGCTTGAACTCTGGGCCTGGCATCAAGCATGTGCCTACAGTGAGCTGCACACCCCCCTCAGTGCCCAGTTGGGGTTTTAAAAAATGATTTTTAATAGCAAAACATCAGGCCACTGACTTCTAGATTTCGTGATGTTCTAAGTCAGCAGCAATTTCTGAACAACATTTTTCCAGAGGTGGGAGGACTGGAGAGGAAGACAGAAGAGCTCAGCAGAGCCCACCCTCAACCCCCAGTTTTCCAGTGTGGTGACCCGAGGCTACAGCGGGAAGTCAGTCTCCTCTGGACCCTGGTGGGGAAGCTTGCCCTGCATGCCAGTCCAGCAAATGGGACTGGCCCAGCTGCTACACGCCTATCTCTTTACAAGGAGAACTAACACCTTACTTCTGAGCCAGAGGTTCCAGAGCACCTGGTGTGGCCAGCATCTGGAGGAACTGCTTTATTCTGTTTCCTTTTTAAGCATGGTGGGATTGCCTGGCAAGCTTTTAGCCCACCCCACATAAGACAAATTGTACCCCCTTCCCTACTCCCTGGACTCTTCTCTTGACCTTTACAAAATAAACACCCTGAAAGCCTTGTTTCCACTCTGAAAATATTGCCAGCAACAAGCATCCAGTCAATAGTCTTATTCCACACTTTTTTAAAATATGCTTGTATGTAATTTCCTGATGTTAACATTATTTTTTTCTTTAAATTCCTCGAAGCTACTCAAATCTGAGCAGCTAACTGTAGCCGCCCCCCAGTATGCACACACTGACTACCAAGTTCCAAGAAGCGTTAGTTCCCTCACCCTCTAGTGTGCCCAGGGGGTGCCAGGCATTGTGCTGGGCAAGTGGACAGGACAAAAGCACAGAAAGGCATTCTGGCCCTCCAGCAGCTAACACTCTGTTTAGTGCCTCAGGCCTCCACTCAGCTGAACCAGGCCCGAAAGAGCATCTTCCTGCCTACATCTCCTCTGGAAATTTTTCCAAGAGGTCAAGTCTGAGAAATCACTGCAGCTCATCAAAGACAGAGAAACCACTGTTAAATAAAAGGTGTGAACAGCCAAGGAAGATGAGAGAGATTTGCAAGCCAAAGCAAGTCCTGCAAATGCATTTTTTAAAAAATGCTTCAGAAAAAAGGGTCAAACTCTGAATTGAGCAAGCTCAACACACTTGTCCAGATCTTTCTCTTCTCTTCTCCTTTGAGGACTAGCACTTGACACAGGGTCCCCTTCTCACAAAGGAGGGGTGTGGGGAGGGGGTGAGCTCACCAGACCCCACCTCTCTTTCAGTGGCCTCTAAGGGCTCAGCTGGGACCTCACAGGAAAGAGGTTTCTGGGATCAAGTCCCTAATTAACTACACAAAGAGAAAACCATGGACGATTTGTGCCGTGGTGGCATTTACTTCTTTCTTTTAACACACTGCCTTGTGAGAAGAGTTGTCATAGGGCAAATCAATCATTTTAGTGGGATTAAAATTAGGGGGGAGCAGTTTAACTCAAAGGCTACCTGCTACGTTAACCCATTGTTTGGTCTCATGAAGGCCAGATGCTCTATGCCATACAAAAAAGAAAACAGAAATAATTTTTTTAATTATTCAACTTCTTACCAACCTATTATGATCCACTAGATAAAAAATATGTTTTATGCTTACATATTTGTGTGAGTGTGAAGAGGCAGATATATAGATTGAAACATTTTGTTTCCGAGTTCCTTTTGCCCTGTGTGTTTTCCCCAAAGCCTTTTCCTTCGGAGCGGGGAGCCCCCAAGCTCCTACATGTGCACTGAGTCCCTTGGGATTGACCCTCTTTCCCGGCCTCCAGACACGGTACTGAGGCAGGACCACAGTGTCCTCCCAGCCAGACAGCCAGATTAGGCAGCCCCAGAACACAGCCCTTTGAAGGAAGCCAGGACGACACCCACTGACCTTAATCCACCTGGCTCATGGTGCTGACTGGCACTGGCAAGGACCCAGACAAAGCAGTGGGCTGCTCCCGCCTCACCTGGTGGGGACCTACCTGGCCAAACGTTTGCCCCGTGGTCTAAGCACTGCAGCTGCTGCCAGTTCAGCACTGGCCTCTCAAAGGTCTGGGCACATCCACAGCGAAATTACTCGCTGTTGGGCCCGGGTTCTAACAGCTCGATCCACATCTGCGCTGGCCCAGCAGCCAGGCCACACACATTTCAACCCGGGCCTGGGCCGACCCGGCTCCTGTCCCCATTGTGAATGCGCTCGCTCTGGGCTGAGGCTCCGCACTGACCCGGCCGTAACTGCCAAGGGCTGAGACAATGGGCACATCTGTCCTTTCTCCGAGGGGATGAAAGCACCTAAGCGACACGGCTCTGCCTTTTGTTACGGATTTTTTCTCCCTTTTGTCAATGAAAGAAAGCCGCGGCATGTGGTGGCCGGGTGTAGCCCCACACTGGGGGCTTCCCCACGCGCCCCTACCAGATCTCGGGACCAGGGTCCTTCGCGGATTGGAGCGTGACTACGGCAGGGCACCATTGCTCCCGACGCTGAATTGATTTTCAAACGCGAAGGCTTCTCTCGGGGACGCCGGGAAGAGGGCGTCCCCAGGGCCAGGCGAAGCCCCGCGCGCCCGCGTCCACCCTGCCTGCGCCACATGTGGTGGGGGTGTAGCCCCACACTGGGGGCTTCCCCACGCGCCCCTACCAGATCTCGGGACCAGGGTCCTTCGCGGATTGGAGCGTGACTACGGCAGGGCACCATTGCTCCCGACGCTGAATTGATTTTCAAACGCGCGA